CTGGGCGCGGTGTGGTGGCCGATGTGTTAAAGGGATGATGCTCACTTTAAAAATTTTGAATGACATATTGACATTGGATGATAACAATTTTGATTGTTGTATCTACGATGCTTTGTTTGCAAAGTTCATGATAATCCCCATCTTAGTCCCTTTATCCCACTCTCTTCATTGTCGATTTGCTACAAGAAATTTTAATTTGTAGCTAATCGGCAAAGAAGAGAGTTGAGGCATGGGGGTTGGAGTGGAGGGTCAAATAAATAATAGGAATCAGTAATTTTACAAAAAATGTCTCAAAAACGCAATGAAACTTAAAGTGTTGGAAGAAGTTAGAAACAACAACAACAACCCAGGTGAATCCCACAACAGTAGGATCTGGGGAGGGTGTGTGTACGCAGACCTTGCTCCTACTCGGAAGTAGGGAGGCTGTTTCCAAGAGACTCCCGGCTCCACCTGCACAAAAATATGGAAGAGAACACAGTATAACACAGATAAAGCACCAAGTACAAGCAACAAGTACAAGCAATAGCAGAAAATTCTTTAGAAAAAATAAAAAATATTGAAATAATCATTAAATACTCTCTCCGTCTCATAGCTTTCTTCGCAGTGCGCTATTCCAACTTCACGAGAATTTTTATTTATTTTTTTTTCATTGTCTACATGATAAAATAAAATATTCTCGCCACCACTTGTTTTGATGAAATCTAACTGTAGTTTTTAAATATGTATAAGTTTCTTTTTTTATTTCTATACCAACATTTCAATAAAATAGATCGAAAAATTTATTAGAATTTTTCGTCGTTTTGTGCAACGCGAAGAAAGATTTGGGACGAAGGGTATAACGAATGGCATATTTTATTTAAATAATTTATGCTATTCTTTTTATGTTTTTTAGTATCTTTTTATTTTCTCTATGTGAATATATTTTTGTCTCAGATCATAGTAATATTTGTGTGACTCACACTCATGCCACTCTTACTTTTTACTTGTTAAAATCAATATTAATTAGTCATAAAATTTTTCATTTTAAAAATTTATAAGCTTCTGAGTTGAACTAGTTAATTGATTGGATTTAATCTTTTAATGCGATTCAACTCAAATATCTTATGACCAGTCTTTTAGCCCACTCGCGTGTCATAGTTTCTGTCTAGACGTTCATTCCTACTGGCACAATATTTGCAATGGTGTAAAGGGAGGCAAGAGTGTAGTTAGTTCGGTCTTAGCTTAGCTATAGCTGATGATCCAACTGCAATTTTACTTTATTCCGTTGGATTGATTATCCGTCAAGTTTTGCTTTGCTTTGGTTTGGTGAATTGAAGAAGCCAAACAAATTAAACAGATCATCAAATAGCCTTTTATCCACTTTCTTTCTTTTTAGTATTCTTATATAGCTTCATTCTTTTTCCTACATACAGTATAATTAACCTGGAATGGAATGTTAATAATAAGTCACTTTGATATGATTGGCCTTAAAAGAAAGGGATAACTTAAGGATCGGAATATATCCACCAACAACGTACCTTCACATCTACTTCTTCTAATATACGCACTCCCTATTTATTTACGTGATATTTATTTATTTATAATTATTTTTATTTATTTATTTATTCATGGCTAATTTACGCAAATAGGACTTAAACATATCACTTTTCTCTTAATATATGACCAGTCATATCTACTCTAACGTTTGGCTATGGAAAGTTCTAAGATGTCACACTTTTGAGAAAAATGACATATTACACGTACAATTCAAGTAGAATAAGATATTATTAAAAACAATTTGAATCGTCAATGAAAAAACCAGTCATTATCCAACACTTGGTTCTAATGACCATATTTGCCACGTGTTGCTAATGAGGGCATATATGACCAAGTATTAAACGTGCTGGATTTTGATCAATTTTAAAATATGTGACCACAGATGATGCTCACATTTACCCATATCTAAAATACCTAAAATTTACCACATTGGCCCTTTATTGTGGGTAGAAGTTGTTTTAAAATTTTTTTGACATTTAAGATAAGATAGCTTAGAAGCGTTTTATGATATGTGTAAAAAACAAAACGTAACTTTCTTTTTGGGACGGAAGAAGTATCATTTTACTCCCTATGAAAATGTAACAATTTAATATACATTTATTTTATTTATTTAGGGAGGGGGGGGGGGACAATTTAGAAGTGTACTTGTTTACAAGATAAACAAAGAGACACTAATCCCCACACTATCCTAATGTAGGGCAGAAAACTTCAAAAAAAAAACTTTGGTATGATATTTAAATGGACCATGCTACACGTACACCAACAAATATACCCTATTTGTACACCACAGTTTTGCACAAACATTTCGATGGTTTACACCGACACAAGTGTTGGTGCGTTAATAAAAATTCACACGGACACAAATGTTGGTGCGTTTAACAAAAATTAGTTTTACACCAACACAAAATATTGGTGCAAAACTGCGGGGTACAAATTGAGGTACAAATCTTAGTGTACACATAGCATAATCCTATTTAAATAGCCGCAAGACAGTGAATAAATAAGATACGTACGGTCTGTGTGTCCAGAAAAAATGTCGAGAAGAATGGGAGTGTGTGGGGGGTGGGGTGGGGGGGGGGGGGG